AAAGTCGACTAGCAGAACAGATACCGAGAGTGAGTAACGAGTTCAATTTCAGAAATCAAAGGAAAAAACTCTCGATCAACTCCTTGGTCTTTATTTTCTCATGTGGTACTTAGGTATACATTTTTCTATTTTAGTATTTTACTTTACTTGATTAGTTGATTAGTTGATCTTGATTTTACATATTTATTTACTTGTTTAGTCGTTACGTTACTGATAAGTGAAGAAAAAGACTGTGAAATTGGAATGGAAGGAAATACAAGCTGAAGCTTTCTAAACATTGAAAAATAAATTGTCTAGCGCGCCAATTCTATCATTACCGATGGTACGGAAGATTTTGTGGTCTATAGTGATGCCTCGAAGTTGGGTTTAGGTTGCGTGTTGATGCAACGTGGAAAGGTTATTGCTTACGCCTGAAGGCAGTTAAAGGATCATGAAAAACAATATCCTACCCATGGTATGGAATTGGCAGTCGTAGTTTTTGTTTTAAAAATTTGGAGGCATTACTTGTATGGGACTAAATGCCATATTTTTACTGATCATAAAAGTTTGCAGCATTTGTTCCATCAGAAGAAATTAAATATGCGTCAAAGACGATGGTTAGAGCTGGTTAATGATTATGATTGCGAGATTTTGTATCATCCAGGCAAAACAAATGTCCGTTAAGTCGTAAAGAAAGGAGTGGTACAATCAAATCCATGGCATTAAGTGCTAAGTTATTGCCAAGCATTCACGAAAAATTGCAAAAATTCCAACGTGAAGCTGTGAGAGAAGACAAGATCAAACAAGAACAACTTGGTGGGATGAGATCTGAATTGGTAAAGCACAATCGAGAATTATTATGTTTTCATAATAGAGTCTGGGTACCATGTTATGGTCATCTCAGAGAACGAATTTTAAGTAAAGCCCACAAATCTCGTTTTTCTATCCACCCGGGTACGAATAAAATGTATCTAGATATGAAACAATGCTACTGGTGGCCTGACATGAAAAAAGATATAGCAAGACATGTTGAGCATTGTATGACTTGCTTACAAATAAAGATAGAGCATCAGCGCCCTTACAGTAAGTTGCAGTCGTTAGAAATTTCGATTTGGAAATGGTATCACATTACAATGGATTTCATAACCAAACTACCTAGAACACCAAAGGGTTTTGATGCTATATGAGTTGTTGTGGATCGATTGTCTAAGTCTACTCATTTCTTACCTATGAAAGAATCGTATTCTATGGACCGGTTAGCAAAGTTATATATTGATGAAGTGGTGACACGTCAAGGTGTTCCATTATCAATTATTTTCGATCGAGACAGTCGATTCACGTCTATGTTCCGAAAGAGTTTTCAAAGAGAAATGAGTTTACAGATTAAGTTGAGTACAACTTATCATCCACAGACGGATGGGTAAAGTGAACGAACAATCCAAATATTAGAAGAGATGATTCGAGCATGTGTTATTGATTTTGAAGGATCGTTGGATGGTCATTTGCCTTTGATTGAATTCGCCTACAATAACAGTTATCACTCGAGTATCCAAACAACACCTTTTGAGGTATTGTATGGACGAAAATGTCGAACGACGTTGTGTTGGAACAAGGTGGGTGAGAAACAGCTAACTGGGCCTGAAATAGTTCAAACAAACGGCAGATAAAATTAATCAGATTCGTGAACGAATTAACTCAAGATCGATAGAAAAATTATGCTGATAAACATCGGAAGTCAATTGAGTTTCAACTTGGTGATAAAGTAATGTTGAAAGTATCACCTTGGAAATGAGTGGTTCGTTTTGGAAATAAGGGTAAGTTGATCCCAATGTATATAGGATCATTTCCTATCCTTGAACAAGTTGGAGAAGTGGCCTACAAACTAGAACTTCCTATGGAGTTAAGTGATATTCATAACACTTTTCATGTGTCAACTCTAAGAAAGTGTCTAGCAAACCCAGAGGTAGCTATGCCACTACCAGAAATTAAAATTGATGAAAAATTATGTTTTGAAGAAACCGTTGAAGCCATTATAGAATTCAAAGTAAAAGCATTGAGGAATAAAGAGATTAGGATAGTGAAAGTTCAGTGGCGTTATTATAAGGGGTCAGAATCCACTTGGGAACCTGAAACTAAGATGCGAGTAAAATGTTCTCATTTGTTTGTATAATGGAATTCGAGGACAAAATTCTTCTAAGGAGAGGAGATTGTAATATTCAGTGTTAATTATGAGCAACTCAAATTTTGGATTTTAGCACTGGAAAGTTAAGGGACCTAAGAGCAAATTATGTGTCCTCCTTGTGATTAGGATTTGTTGGTCAAATAGAATTGTGAAGGGGATGGGTGCATGGGCATGCACTGCCTCAATCCCCCCTTCTTATCTTTGATGTACTTACTTACTATATGTAGTAAGTGGTAGATAATTGAGGAAGGTTTTTCAAACTTTTGGAGAGAAAATTTTTAGAAAGTTGTTGGCAAAGAAAGGAGGAAGAGCATTCAATTTCAGAAAAAGGTGATTTTTTACACTGCTTTGGTAAATATGATTGTTACGATTCTTGCAGTATACTTTGTTGTACAATATTAGATGGTGTATGGGTTTATATTACATCAAATTTGTTATCACTCTTCATCGCACGAAGCAGTCTCCAATGAAGTTCCTTCATTGCACAAGGCATCGTCCGATAAGGACCCTTATCGATCAAGGTATTGTCTGATGAGCTCCTTCATCGACCAAGGTTTGTCTGATGAGAACTCTCATCGATCAAGGCACATTCGATGAGACCTCTCATCGATCAAGGGTTGTTCGATGAGACCCCTCATCGATCATGGGTTGTTCGATGAGACCCCTCATCGATCARGGGTTGTTCGATGAGACCCCTCATCGATCAAGGGTTGTTCGATGAGACCCTTCATCGATCAAGGTATTGTCCATGTGCTCATTCATCGACCAAGGTTTGTCTGATAAGACCCTTCATAGATCAAGGGTTGTCCGATGAGACCCTCCATTGATTAAGGTGTTGTCCGATGAGACCCCTCATCGATCAAGGGTTGTCCGATGAGACCCTTCATCGATCAAGGGACCCTCACCGATTAAGTGTTGTCCGGATTGGACTCTCACTGATTAAGTGTTTCCCAGATTGGAACATCATCGATCAAGAGTTGTCCAGATTGGACCCTCAACGATCAAGCATTGTTCGGATTGAACCCTCACCGGTCAAAGTGTTGTCCGGATTAACCTTCAGCGCTTACATTATTGTTCGATAAGAATGTTTGTAACCACGATAGTTGAAATGACGGTGTAACCTTGATAGATGAAATGGTAGTGTAACTACGATAGATGAAATGACGGTGTAACCGCAATAGATATTTGATAATTTATCATTAAAAATCAGGTCTGAATTGTATTAAAATATTACAGCAGATTTTAATTACATGAGGGAAATTCACTCATTAGGCCTTTTGGTCTAACCGTCAGTTGTTGTAATAATTTATTTTACATGTCAATAATTATCAAAGGATAAAGGCAAAAGAATGATTTAATGGAATTATGGACGAATGTTTTGTTATAACGGAATTTTTTGTTAATCCATATTGTTGGGTTGTTATATGTAAATAGACTTGAATTGACTGTAAATATTGGAACCTGATGTATGTTAAAGCATGAATTTTGTTTGTTAGTATTAGTCAGTACATGGTGGGTTGTTTCAGTAATAACCATTTGATAATATATGAATTTCAGTTCGAAAATGGTTAAAAGAAAACTTACAAGTGTTAATTTCCAACATGTATTCCATTACCGTATCACAATTAATGGTCATAATCTAATCGTACCAAATTGACATAGCGTCTAAATAATAACCATTTCATAATATACTCATTTCAGTTCGAAAATGGTTAAAAGAAAAACTCACCTTGATCATGATGATAAAAACTTTATCGACACAAAGGATCAATACTGAACACGAATCCCAAATCGAACACATGAACTAGAATAAGGTTAGCATGGTTACAATCTAAATGATTTAATCTATTCCATCAATTTTAATCAACTCAAAGGTACCTAAACAATACCCGGAAAACCCCTAAAATGACACGAAGGAAAGAAAAATGAGAAAATTAAAAATAGACGGGAATGCGAGTTTAATGCCACCAAAGTCGCATAGGGGTTGCGTTCTTCACTTAATGCGACTTCCAGGTCTGTTTCTCCCCTGCACAACCCAAATTTCAAACCAAAACCATTTCCCATCTCAAATCCTTGCAAAAACTCGTATTTGAATACATAAGAAGCTCTTCGACCGTAAAATTATCAAAGATAAATCCTACAAAAGATATACCATCATTGATTCTCTTCAACTTTGATCGCCAATTCAAAGATAAAATCCTTTGAAATCAAAACTTCCAACCCAAAGTTTAAACTTAATTCAACGATGTAGAAAACCCAATTCCAAAATATCAAAACCCAAACTCAAGACCTAAAACTTGAAATTTAAAGAGAGAACAAAATAATCTTACCTTGGAACTAAAAGAGACAAGACTAACAAGGATATATAATCCAAGAACCTTAAAGATCTTACCAAAGTGAAGTTCAACATCAAAAAAATTAAACAACATATCAATGCATAAGCTTCAAAACACTTCATTCATGGAGTTAGGTTAACCAAAAAGAAAGGGAGACTAACCCAAGAACTTGAACTCATAAAACATAATTTTCCATAACTACCAACTTAAGAATCACCATGGAAACATAATTCAGTAAGATGCCTTCAAAGAAAACACATGACATACACTTCCACCTTTTTCATCTGGATAAATCTGATTGGAAGTGAGGAGGTGGGTTTATATACCCCCAACCTTTCAAGGCAAACCCTTAAGAATAGTAGAATAACTAAAATCACCCCTAGCCTTCTAATAAATAAAAATATGGTTATATCACCCTGGGCCTCTGCCCATCTTGCCAACTAGCTAGGCCGCCCCTGTATAACACATATTTGAATATACATCATAAGCTTGCTATAAAAATGGGATTTGAAATGGATTTCAATTTAAAAGAAACTAGTTGAACCACATTTACAAGTTGCCAAACTGGGGTGTTTAGATTATTCTAAGCAAAGTAAAAATCACCCTTGAATCATAAACTTTTTACGAATACACTTGGGGTGAAAGACAAAGTTCATTCTTCTTGTGAATGGTTATCCCTGGCGTAAACTCAAAGTCTATATCTTCCTTCTTCATACCATTCGGCAACCCCCAATCAAACAAGTAAACAAGATTAGCAAGCAAAAGCTCCGTCGTGATAGCTCCCATTGAGATTCCAGGGCAGATTCTTCGACCAGCCCCAAATGGGATCAACTTGAAATCACTCCCTCTAAAGTCAACATCACTACCCAAAAATCTCTCTGGTAAGAACTCCTCCGGGTTCTCCCAAGCTTCTGGATCTCTTCCAACGGCGAATGCATTCACATAAACTAGGGTTTTCTGTTTGATTTGATAGCCATGTAAAATGGCATCTTTCCTTGTTTCTCGAGGTACTAAAAGGGGAGCTGGAGGGTATAACCTCATGATCTCTTTTATCACTGCCTTCAGATAGGTGAGTTTTGGAAGATCGTCTTCGTCTATTTGACCTTTCTTTCCAACCACAATCCTYACTTCTTCTTGTGCTTTCTTCATCACTTTGGGGTTCTTCATTAGTGCTGTCATCGCCCAAATCACTGTAGCAGCACTTGCATCTGTTCCGGCTACCAATACATCCTAAAACAAGAACAATGGAAACAATTAGATATGTAAGAATTGATCTCCCAAGACTCGGCAAAATATATATGTTTTTTTAAGTATATAATATTTATATACAACAAATGCGACTAATAAATTTACACATCCTCCTTACCTTTGGTGAGGTTTAAACCCTTGGACTACAATACCACTAGGCCAGAGGTCATTTGGTGCAAAACATATATGTTGGTAAACAAATAGATGATTTTAGGGATATTCACAAAAAATAGCCGCTTCTGGAATTGCACATAGCCAACTTTTTGCAGAGTAAAATAAAATAGTGGTCGGTTTCGCAAAGACCCCATTTTATTTCGCAAAAACCCTTTTTTCGGCCTTTCTAATTTTTGTGGACCGATAATGCAAAACCCTACTTTTTTTTGGGCAAAATGGGCCACGATATCGTTTTTTTCCTTGCAAAATTAGTGTTTTGCGCTATGGGCTCACAAAATGTAGAAGACCGGCAAAAAGAGGTTTGTGAAAAATTTACGAAACCTGTGGATATTTTGTGATGGTTATAGTTAACAAATTTTGAGATTTGTTATCTCCAAGTGTTGCTATCTATGTGAATATCCCATGATTTTAACGGGAAAGCTTTTCAGAATGAGAATTTGAAACTTTAGTGGGATATCCCAAAACTCAAACCAAGTCTAACAAGGGGAAGAATTGAATGTAGAGATGATGTGAAAGACACACTTAAACGGATATAGAGATTACCGCTAGCATGGCTTTTATGTGATCGGAAGTGAGCTCAAAGGGATTCAGGACTTGATCTTTCTTTAGTTGAATTAAAATATCAATAATATCCTGCTCTTCGTCATGAGGCTTGGAGTTTTGAGGTTCGAGGTGTTCATCAATTAGTTCTTGGTAAAACGAATCTAATTCACGGAAGCACTTTTCTAGCAGTTCCCTCTTGCCCATTAGCTTATCAATCAAACCCACACAAGGCAAACTAGGCCAAAGATCCGAAATGAAAAAGGTTGTTATCGTCGCTTGAAGTTCGCCAATAAGCCGAGAAACCCTCTTCCACTCAAGTGCATCTTCATACCTCTTGCCAAAACCCACTCGCAGTATGATAGCCAGCATTACATTCTTGGAGATTTCGCTCAAGTTTACCTGCTTAGATGAAAGTGCTAGCTCATGTATCTTTTTCATGGAACGTGAGACCTCATCTTCACGAATATATCTAGAAGACTGTACCCTTTTTGTGCTCAGCAAATGAGTTGTTATAATCTTTCTCATTTCTTTCCAAGACTTGTTGTAGGGCGACAAAACCACGTCGAGGCCATTGTAAGATAACCTACGTTGGCCAAGTAATGATGGCCTACTGCAAAAGATAAGATCTTGGCYTTTCAAGACTTCTTCCGCTAGACTTGCGGAAGAAACAACGATAGCTGGGATGAAACCTAATTTGAGAAATAAGATTGGACCATAAGATTTTGAGAGTTGCCATAGGGAAGTATGGAGGTTTGAGTGATTGATCTGGTGCAAGTTTCCGATGAAGGGTAGTCGGATAGGGCCTGGTGGGCTAAATTTTGATTTGTTTTTGATGATTTTGGGCAAAAGGTAGAGGAGTGATAGAAGGGGAAGAGAAAGAAGAAGATATTGAAGAAGGAAATCCATTATTGATATGTAATATTAGTTTTAGAGATTAAATGGAATCATGATAAGAAAACACACACACACACACACACACACACATATATATATATATATATATATATATACTATGTTTTCGTTAATTGATTTTTTAATCAAGAAAAATAAAGTCAATTGTTCTTTACAAATTAATTATGTCAAGTAATTTAATTAAATGGAAATCTTTGAATTGCTATGATTATAGGAAGAAATGCAACTACAAATGAGCCTATTATTCGTGGGCCATGCACAGATTTGCTTTCTATTTGCAAACTTATCATCGAAATACTAATCAAAATAAGCGGTGTTTGGGATCGCTTATATAAAATAACATGTTTTTTTTAAAAGTGATTATCAATTTAGATGGTGTTAAATAGAGTCTTATAAAAAATATTTAGATTAACTTATAACAATATCAAATCATAATGAGCTTATAACTATTTCTTTATCATCGGTACTACAGGGGAATAAGTTAATAAATTATAATGGAGTAACTTATCAAAAACTTCTTATTATCGGTGCCAAACCGATATAAGTATTATTCTTTTTCTATCCAAACACTCAAAGCTTCTTATTATTGATGTCACATCGGAATAAGTTAATAAACACTTTAAATAAGCAATCTCAAATGCCCCTTAAATAAGCCATAAAATGAACGACGTTAAACGAAATGATGCGGTTTTTTAGCTTCAAATTATCGGGTGATAGTGGAGATGTTGATATGGTACAGGTTAACTTAAGTATAAAAATCTATATATATATATATGTATGTATATATATATATATATGTATGTATGTATATATATATATATAGGGTATATTTCTTTTACAACCTTGTGCATTTGTACAACCTTTGTAACCCAATTAATTGAGATATTTATAGAAATGATTGGAGTTCATTTATTATTATTTTAATATTTATGGAATATGAATAGAGTTTATTAATTATAATTAATAGTTTATATTAGGAAATAATTAATTGATTAAAAATTGAATGATTGAGATGAGGGTTGTATAGGGTGTAGGAATGACAAAGGGTGTAGAATAACATCCCTATATATATATATATATATAT